CACCAGTATGTAAATGTGTGTGTGAATGTGTGGATGACTGAATGTGTAAAGCGCTTTGGGGTCCTTAGGGACTAGTAAAGCACTATACAAATACCGCCCATTTACCATTTTTATATTTATTCTTTATTTGTTTTCAGACCTTTTAAACACCGCAGGGGCTTCAGCTGCAAGAATAACACAAACACGTCACACAACACAGACTGTTTAACAGAATACGCAATTGTAATTATATGTCTGAATCGCCCGTGTTCCAGTGATACAGCTATGATAATGATAAGTCTGTTACCTGACACAGTGAGCTTTTCTGGTCTCACTGAGCAAAGCTCAGAGTGCACTTAAACACATTTACACAGAGCTTTTCAACACTGAACTACTCTGCAGCACTTTGCCTATCACACACACTTGCATTTTGCTTATTTGACTGCAGCAGCTGTGTTGCTTTCAGCAGGTGGTTGTATTTTTGTACTATTACAATCTGATCATCATAAAATAGACTGCTCGGTTGCCATCGGACCTGTCCCTATTTGTGGTTAGTCATATGCTGCCAACACAGCCTCTTCAATGTGGGCTACATTTGACTGATCCAGCCGATAACCACTTCCCTATTACCAGTGATATGATAAGGGAAGGCAGAAAAGACAAAGATATCACATATATATTGAATCGTAGTATATGCCCAAGCTTTGTTCTTTTTTGAACAAGCGAAGTGACATATCTCCAAACCAAAGCATTAAAAGCAGCGTCTGAGGGGGTCGGCTTTTCTTACCAGTGTTTCTAAACAAGACATGTGATGGGCGGTCCTTCATGGTCAAGTCCAGGACTGAAAGACCCTCCTTGTCTTGGGTGGAGAGAAGTCCCCCATGCTGCAATTCAAAATTCAAATGTAGGTCAAAGTTTGAGTCTCTTCAGAATAATGTTTGTCATTTTACAGTACTGAAAGCTTTGATTGGACTGTTTCTTCTTGGTAATAATTTGAATTTTGATGGCACTCCATCAACACACACCTTGACCAGTGATATGAGACAGTGGATCTGTCCATAGAAGGCGCTGCGATGCAGAGCGGTCCAGCCGGACTCCTTATCTTTAAGCATCAGGTCAGCACTTTTGATTTCCAGCAGCCACTCCAGCAGGGCCTTCTTACCCAGTGAGGCTGCCAGGTGCAGGGCTGTACGACCGAAGGCATCCCGCAAAGTGGCTGCATTGTGGCAGTGTGAAGTCAGGAAAGCCCGGAGCTGCCCCTCAGAGCCGCTTGTTAGTGCAGCAACCACCTGGTCTGCATGCTGCTGTGAGCGGCATTTGGGGGTGCAGTCCAGCGGTGCCTGACTCATCCTGACCTCTGACAAATCTTCACAGTGAAGCCCTTGTCCTCTTGGCAAAGACCTTCTGCCAGCCCACCACCAATAATGGCAAACACACTCAAAAACAATGTAATGTGTGGCAACAAACAACAGAAACAATCGGGAAAAAAATAGGACAAAAATAAAACAGCCGAGGTAGATTGGAGTGCTAGAATTGTGCTTGTGTTGAGGTTCCACCGCACCCTAGCGACTCCAGAGCTCTGCGTGACTCGTTTCAGTCCACCATTTCGACCAAGGACCGCACACAAGGCTGGGTGCTCGCAGTGTACAATGGCATCAGGACTTTAATAAATACAAAACTTCTTTATGAATTTATACAAAAGAAATTGTACAACATCTGCAAAAATAGTCTTCCCTCTAATTATGTACAAAAGGCAACAACTTCACCAGCCCTCTGACCTTCTCCTCCTGCAGTCCCAACCATCAAACCTGAGGGGAAAGGCCACCTTCCCCCCCAAATTTTGACACCTCTTTTTCACAACTCCATAATTGTAGAGTGTACCTAAAGGAGAAAGTTGAAGCACACATTAGTGACAAAACAGCGTCCTCATTTTGATTACATGTAATCACGTGTGCAATAGTCAAATACAAAAGTGTAAACTTCAGAACAAGTCTGCCCTAAAATCAGTCTGAAGTAGCTCGAGTCAGCTGAGTTTACAAGGTTTAATGTTGACTAATCACCACGATTATGTAACAGGCTAACTTAGCTTAGCTTAATGTTAACTGCTGTTATTGTCCACTCACCATTTGGTCTCGCTAATGGTCAGCTAAAACACCCTTGATGTTAAGGCCTAGTGGCCCCATTTCTTTAATAGAAACAGTCGTATCTCCTTTATTGCTTATCTAACTTGCTGCAGAAGCAGGCTGTGCACAGCAGCTACTTCACCCAGTAATATTAGCTCATCCTGCCTAACAGGGTACTGCAACATAGATAATTTCAAAGCGGGATAAACGCACGGATTTGGACAAGTTTAAAAATCAGCCCAGTATAGTTAATTAAAGACAGTTACCTAATACTACTTTGATAGCTCGCTTAGCTGACACATCATCGCAAGCTAACGTTAGCAAGCTAACGTCGGGGTATTGCTTACCTTCCGCTAGTGAAAGAAAAAAGAGGACATGGAGAAAGTAGCATCAACGACGTAAATCCACTTTGTCATTACTACAAATGGAAAACGCAATGTATTTTTTCGCCGGTACGAATTTTGGACAGGTATGAGCCCCTGCAGGTTAGGTAAGAGAGCTTGCATCAATGTCAAGACTTCTGATTGGCCACGGCTCCTGCATCCTGATGTCCTATTGGCGGATTTTTGGGGCGGTCAGTCGCTCTGTGGGTGATGTCATAGGATGCGATTTTGACATTTAGTTTCCTATACCAAGATTATTCTGGTTAACTAACACAAAATGAAAAACTAAAACTGCATAAAAAATTTTTTTTAGGTAGCTACAATAAAAATAAAATATTCTGGGGGAAAAATAAAGCTAACTGAAACGATTTTGTGACCTCAAAATTAACTAAAATATAATAAAAAAATGTATAGAGGAAAACCTTAGTTTTAGTATTTCTTAGTTTGATGAAAATAAAATAAATAATAATA